GTTTTTCACATTATGTACAGGTGTATGTTTAACCTTCTCCTTGTCTAGGCCTCATTGATACATTCATCATTGCAAAAGTTAATGGTGGAAGTCGGGAAGTTTTGGATTAAATGGCAACACTTTAGAGAGATGAAAGGGCGTCAGATTAAAAATTTATAAGAAAATATCAATTTGTCGCACCACTTCCAAAATATACTCATATTTTGCTGCTTATATATTGTATCTATAACTGTATTAATAACCATGCACATTATATCATCTCTTCTCAATAACGTAAAGATATGAGGCATGCACAATTCCTTTATCAACCAGCTATGTGTATGAATTATATGAAGCGAAGCATAATCAAAAGTAATTTTACAATGCTACACCTGCCACATGCCAGTGAAGCTGGTATGTTACCAGGAAGGGCTGTCATACTGTTTGACCGATGAGGATACAGCTACAGATCCAGGGAAATCTGTAACTAGTGTTTCCTCACATTCCTGTCCAGTTTGATTGGCAGCTCGTGGGACATGACATCCTCCATCTGTTTGTCTGACCTACATCTACTCCAACATTTTGTCCCCTTACAAATCAATGAACCACCAGACCAATAAATGCTAATTTATGCACATTTTTGGTACCAAAAACACATAAACACAAAGCAGATAAATCCTAAATTTAAAGAAGTTTTCAACGTAAAGTTTCCTTCTTTTTGCTTCGTATGAAATCAGGCCATAGCATGGCGGATACACATGTTTACTCACTATTCCTAGGCAACAATAAAGTATTATTTACAACGGACAAAAGGACGATCAGATTCACAGCATCAACCACCCCCCTAAGGAATGTCTCTACCCCCTTCTTGTGTCTATAGAATTAATCAGATACCAAACTAGGTCACTGATAACTTAAAAATCAAGTGATGTTCTTACATGCATATGAACAACATGGTTTCATGTTGATTGACGTGTATGGTATGTATATTTCCTTTCATATCTAAAGAAGCATGCAGAATGAGACAGGTTGTCCTCAAATGAATATATCAGGTTACAAAAAGGCCACACAGGGTGTCGAAATGGGAATTTCTGTTCCAAAGGTATAACCTTTTCACAGATTCATTTCACCCTCTTCTTTACCCTTTCTTAAGTGTTAAGACCAATTAGACACATAATGATTGATCTGTGATATCGGTAGTGTTATGTTAATGCCCTTCTTGAAATTCTTCCACATCAATTCCTTATACAGTGTAATACATTTATACATGTACTACTTTGATTGAAAACTCCAGAACTCATAATATAACTAAGGGCACAACCTCAAGCAACTCATATACCATTTTCTGCTATGCTTTTTATCCATAAAATGAATTTATCTGCATGTATCATTTATGTAACAGTAAATAATGAGAAGCAATGGATAGAGGCCATAAATACTATGTAGTACTGATTGTAATGTAAACAGATACAACACATATTTCTGTTCCCAATATCATTAATACATAAATCTGGATTCAGCACATGTACCCATGCCCCTAAAATTGGGTATTTTGACAGTTTTTATGAAGATGGATTGTTTTGCATGCACAAGATTTCACGGTATCAGCTATTTGGTGTTTCCACAAATTATGTTTTGTGTAATAAACTAAGATTTGCAATCATATCTTTTAAGGTACATTAACCACATAGATTTCTAAAAAATTAATCTTCATAACGTTTATAAAGAAATTGCAATACAGACACAAGCTTACTGAACGTGATTCATTACATTTTGATTAAAATTTGTGTGATAAAAACATTGTCTTTTGTAGTAACTGTTTTGTAGTGATATTTGTAGGTCATCTACACAATGTCCTGCCCCTGTCCTGGAAAGACAGCCAGTCAGGTCAATATCTCTGACAGGGATCTGTGGTAATTACATTTTATGGACTGCATGAAAAATTACAAAATCCAGGACAGTGAGTCTGACATGATCACATGTCTGCCGGTAAAAAGGCATGCATAAAACGATCCCGCTTGTGTATAGAAAATAGGTCATGAATGTACATGAAAATATGGATCATATTTCTTTTGTTCCATATCTTATCTCGTGTAGACAGGGCCTCTAATATGGATGATAGAAGACACCATTAGATTTGATTATAGGCAGGCTTCAGGAGGTACATATATCGTTCTACATACAGTAATATAAACTTTTAATGCCAAGCAAATGAAAAGGACTCAAATACTAAAATACAGTTCAGCTCAATCAACGGCTTTCAGAAATTATTTAAAAGAGAAGTATATAATTTTGCCTAAAAGCAATATCAGTAAAAATTCCTTACTTTGTTATCCCTTTCTAGCTTTTTGGATGCTGTAAACCTTGAAATATTCAAGGAGTTTTATGTTTGCGGTTTTCAAAGAGACCTCGCCACTGTGAAGTTATCAAAACAGTACAAATTTTCTGACACTAATGTACTCTGTACGCCCACCGCAAACTTCAAACATAGCAAACATTTCCCTTTATCCCCTACCACGAAATTCAATCCCTTCAAACTTAAACAAATTTTACAGTAGATGGACAGCATGTTACAACTTCCCAATGGCTTTAACATCTGGTATTTTGCCATCCCTGTAACAGGAGGCTCTACAGTAACCAATATTTTTCATTCTACAAAAAGTAAATGCAGGTGGTACTCAAACAAGGTATTGAATTTGTTTGGCCCCGAGGGTGTTAAAATGAGCCCTAAAATACAGCCCTTTATATACAGGTGCTGCGGTGCAAACAAGCCGGTACTGAAATCTGGGTTAAGTATGGCCATAATGGTCCAAAATGGACCCTCAGATCTCCTGGCGATTTCCTACAGGAAATATCAAGTGACCAATTAAAAAGGAAATGGTAGCCCTGAGACACCAAATCAATATTTTCTGAAGGTATAAGGAAAATAGCATGGAACTCAGAAGGTATCAAGGGGTGATAGAGACAACTCAAAGCAGAGTAGCAAATTTAAGAGAACTGTAAACTCAGGAACATTCATAAAGAGTATAGCAATGTCCTTTTTTTTTCAATATTCTTTTCTAGATTCTATATATGCCATTAAGAAAGGATATCTAGTAGCAATCTCCAAGCAGATGTTGGGATGAAAGAAACAAACATTTTCTACTTCTCTGAAAGTCTCTCATCCCTTAGGCAGTCGGGTAGTTGTTATGATCGTCCACCCCACATCTGCTTGAAGCTTAATCTAGTGGTATCCATTTCCGTAATGCACATGCCATGATGTAGGGGATACATCACAGAGTAATGACATTACCTGAAACCTCTAACCACAGGCAATGTCTCATGGGGGAGTAATTATCCAAGCCAGATAGACACTCTGAATAAATCTGATAGTCTGATGAAAGGAAAGATGCATAATTTCATAAAACATGCTGTCAAAACATCTTAACAGTTTTTCCTATTATAATCTCAAGCAGATCTTTTGGTGTTTGCCAGACAGTATCAAATTGGCATGGCAGTATCCATTTGCCATCCAGCTGGTATTAAAAATATACCAGTACAAAAAAAACTGATAAAAATGCCTAAAACACTTTAAAAAATGTAAAAAAAAATAAGCTGAAGCTGAACCTCTGCTTCCTAACCCTGAAGCCAATATGCAGTTATGATATGTTGAGTTATACCATTGTCTCTACATTAAATGAAAAGAGACAGTGATTGAATATTTGTATATCGGATTATTACATGATAAATCACAAGGCTGGATAGAATACAAAAAATGTCATCATAAAAAGATTTGCATGCTTTTAGTTTTAGCAGCCTTTGGCAGTTTACAAAGCATCTCGTTACATGTGTCATAGTTAATTGGATGACATCATTGCATAGTTATTTGTGATCCGCTCAGTAACGCGTCTCAAAATTGAAGATTATCATAAGAAGACAGATGAATGCACAATCATCTGAAATACCATGATATGAAATATGTATACCTTTTCCCATTTGGAATACGACCTAAAGCCATACATCTAAGCCATATATCTATATGAGGCCATCATTATATTGCTATTTCCAAAGCTAGATTTATCAATGATTTGCCCCTGGAAAGGTTGGCAGACTTTTCCATAACCTTATGACATACAGACTTTGACCAAAAAAATGAATCTACCATTCTACTTTAGTACAAAGTACCACAGAAAAGGTGTCAAAGTATGGTTAATTAAGGCTTATTCTATTATGCTAATTAACACGATTGTGCCAAGATTATCTAAATTGTGTCATTTGTACAAACAAGGTACAAACCAGGCCACTAATTACGAATGAATATGCAAAATCCTCAATTGTTGTTATTTATGTGGTTTACACTAAACCTGTTGGGAAACCAGAACAACAAAGACAAAACAGCTGAAAATCCTTTGAAGGATAATTGGTTACAATTAGATTTAAGGGGCTCAGAAAGTGGGCATTTCTTCACACGGTTGGCTTTGAATATTCCACATTTGTATAGTGATGAAAAATCTGGCTGTAGTATGTCTGAAATTCTAGCAGTTGACCTTAAATATACCCTTAAGAGTACCTGATTACCTTTGATCATTTCCGGTGAGAAAAACACCAAAATTAACGCATCAAACAAGTGTCCAAATCCAACCAATATATCCACAACAATGACTGAGAGATCCTAACAGTATTTTGCCACGTTTTTAGATCCTGTTAAGTTGGCGGCAAGCCACAAGGACGCGTGGAAAGATCTGTTTCTAGCTCGCCTGGCGACAACAAAAGAGAGGAAACCTGCCAACAAAAAAGAGGTGGTTTGAAACTGCAACACCTGGCAGGTGTCAACGTGTCGCTCCAGCTACATGTAGCAACTTTTTCCCGCTTTAGCAAGCCCAAATCCCGACAATGTACTGGATATACAGTGCTGATAAAAGGCTAAGGGATAGGGAAAAAGTCAAAGGCCGCCAAAGTCATGTGCCAGTTTGCACTTGGTGTGAAAGGGAACAATATAGATGGCGTGCAGAGCGAACAAGTGTTGTTATTTGTGTACTCACGGATTGGAACGGATCGCGCGTCGAGCCCCTTCACTTTGTCCTCGACGCTTCCAATCCTGGCGATGAGCTTCTCAGACCTTGTGGCGACGCCGTGCAGCTCCGAGTCGAGCTCGTCGAAGATGTCGGTGGCGTTCTTGAGCAGGTCGGCGAGCTGTCGTAAGGTACCGGCCAGCATGGAGTTGGTGACGGCGTCCAAGTCGTCCCACACCGCCGCCGGGCCGCCCTGCGCTCCCGGGCCCGAACCTGGCCTCTCCCCAAGCGCTTCAGGCTTAACACTCCGCTTTGGAAAAGGCATGTCTCCTCAAACCTGTATATCCTCTTTTGGTAGACAAAATTCTGTGAAAAATTCCGTGAAGAAATGTTATCGATGAGGTGGTGATCCAACTTGCACTTGCATGTTCGAAGGAGAAATAAACACGCGAGGAGGTCACCACCGTACGGTGTAGGTTGCACAAACTTGTTGGGGATCCCTTCCTTTGCAAGAGTCACACGACCGATACACGACAAACGTACGTCGACAGGAAGCGACACCTTTCCCTTGTTCCTCCTGGAATCCGCACGAGAGTTGGGAAATATCCTGAAAGGAAATCCAGAAGCCGCAGACTAGTAGTATTTTTTCACGCCCCTCCACACCCCATGTTCGGGACAGGGCAGAGCGGTGTAGCTAGTGAGGTGTAGCAATTCAAACCTTGAGCAATCGGCTGTTACCGTTACTTGACCTACTCCCGCTTTCTCATTAATCATTAACCTATATATTGGGACCTTTTCATACACAGGATTCAATCGACTAAGACAGTGTTATTGCACATATTTTTCATAGCTACAAAAATGATTGAATTGAGATAGTAAGGAATTATTACAAAAATTGGTATGAATATATATTTACCTTTACTGGAGGGAGAATGTGTGTAGGCAAAGCAGCTTATTCTATGGGTTCCATTGAATCACAGTTGGGAGCGCTGATTGGACGACAGATACGTCAGGATTAAGTTTCAACCAATCAAACAGGGGACCAGGATTAGGTTTCGCGTTTTTGCACAGGACAGAAAGTAGAAGCTCTAAGTTTAGAGATGATGTTAAAAAAAAGATTGGTAATGTTCTTTCAGTGGTATTTACATATTCTATACTTACAAGTAACTGCAAGTACAAACTTTCACACTAAGAGAATCAAAAGTGAATATAGACTTTCAAACTTTATACCAAAATAATGTTTAGGCAGTATGATTCTTGGGACACATGATAATATATGGTGCAATGTATATGGTGTATTTTTTAACATTAGGACTTCACTGTGAGATTTTAATGCTGCTGTTTATTCTGTTGAGGTGTATGGCTAGACACAAAAGGAATACTGGTAATGTTCCTCAACACTGACATACATATGACCACTTACTCCAAAACATCCCCCAAGGCTGTAACATTAGCACCAAAACAGGAACTCTGCAAGGTGCACAATGTTTGTGTGTGCTCCTAGAAACTGGAGCAGAAACAAAATGTCATCTGTTCCATCCACGATTCGCACTTATAATGATCATGTGAGTTCAACAGGAAATGACAAAGCGAAATTTAGTCACGTTCATTTGAAATGAGGAAGATGAGAATATTTACTTCCTTTCTTTTTTGGCATCAGTTTAGAGTATAAAACAAGGAGAGGAGCAAAGAAAACAAAGACACAACTATAAAACTTGACCAACTATGTCTATTTGGCTTATACCGGTATTTTTCCCCTTTTCAGCCTCCTCTGAAGCCTGGTAGAGGCTAATCTGAAATGTCTAACTCTTCTGTCTATAATGTCGCTAAACCATTTTGCAAATTCTTCTTAGAGAAATTACTAAAAAAAGTTACTCAAAAAAGTCCCAGTAACAAGGAGGCTTGTGTTGCAGACAAATTAAGAAGATCTGTTTACATCGGTTAGAATTGTTGTTCCTTTGGGAATAATTATGCTGGCTCCAAGAGCATAGTCCTAGACTGTATAAGATAAGAGAAAGCCTTGGCCCCATTCTTTCCAAATTGACAAAACAATTCCCCGCAACCATTGGCAGACCCAAACAAGCAACCGCTTGTCGGAAACAGATACTGTCTGTATTGAGGGATGTACATGCCAATTGTCATTCTTAGAATTGTTGACATGTTTCCATGACGATAGATGTACTTTCGCTATTTACCCTTCATCAGTCACTTTCACCAGGGTACCATTAAGAAGCCTCCTTGTGTTACAATAAGTGCACATCTCCAGGAGTTGTCATCATTAGGGATAGTCCATTTAGAGAAGAGGGGAGGGATTGGCCAAAAATTGAATCCAATGGGCCAGATCGAGGCGCATTCCTCTCTTCAGCCTCCTTGGTATGTCATTATTCAAGTAATGAGTTTTAAAAGGATACAATTATTTACGACAAAATGCCTGAAAATCTCTGCAATCAGAAAACAGAATGGTTCTCATAAAATGCTGGCCTGAGATCGCAACAGACATTACCACTATAGCTTGGTATGTATCGGTATCTACCATTGGTCAAACAATAAACAATACATGTGATGGCTGTTGAGAAATTCAAATGGAGGACCAACTGGTGGTTTAAGCCCAGAGCCATTCATTTTCAGTTGGACATTAACCGATTAACTACTGCATCATAAAATAGCAAGAAACAAAATATGGAAAGAAGGAAAAAATAATTTCAAGTGGATCATGTGAGTGAATTCAACTGGCGTTGACCTTCAATGACTCTATCCTCCTCCTAAAGTGTGCTGTGTACTGTAAGTCATGAAACTTTCGCATTCCTTTATTGGGCAGTCAGAGCGGTTTTTACACTGTTTTGAATTTGTGGTGGAAAATTAACAATTATCTAATACAATGGCCAATACTAGCCATACAGGGAAGATATATATATTTGCAGTGAAGAACTAGCAGATCACCAGGAAAAATGGTTTCAGGATTGACAGTACTAAATAAAGGGGAGGGAAAGTTGTTTTTGTTGATGCAGCCTGGACAACCACAGGCAGACAGAGAAAACAGATAAAACCCAAATGTTTATTTTGGCTGCTCATCTGTTTGGCAGGCACACAGATCATCCAGATGTCCTGTTGACCCACCTAGAGACAAGATTTGGTCTTCTTCTCAAATGACAGAGGAGATTACATAGACCAAGAAGCTTTAAAATCAACTTTGATTTCTAATCTCCCTGCATAGACCAACTTTACCGACTAGCTTTGAACTGTACGGAACACCACCCCTCCAAACTTTGAAATGGAACATTCCTAATAAGCATAAAAATGCATGTGACTCTTCTTAGCATCCGTTTTACAAAGTAGAAAATGTATATAAATGTACCACAACAAAGGGAATGTAATCTATCATTTATCACACGGCCCAGACTGGTCACAAGATCGCCATTACAGGATCTACCCAGCTGGTGCCAGCACAAGAGTTTTTCTCTGACCCAGAAAAATCTATAAAATCAATTTGAGTGTTGGGTGCTATTGTGGGACCAGTCAGTTTTTTATAACAGAAGTGGTCTGGTGTGTCGGATCATGTTGCACCTGTGGGCTGTTGCTGCTTTTCCGCTTCTTTGTATTATGATATTCTAGACTGTTAAAGGTTTAAGTTGAATGTCGTAAGGACAACATTTGTAGAGAAGTCTGTGGTTAGGGAAGCAGAAACTTTTAGACAATGGGCTTTATATAATAACAAACCAAATGCCGACTGATATGGTTGCAGTATCAATCATTTGTCTGAAAATAGAACTCTATCTCGGTTCAATTAAAATGTGGCTTTCCACTAAGCTAGTCTTATATCAGTTGTGACAGGAAGGGCTGACAATGTGCATACTGATAGCAATGTTACGTTCAGTGTACTTTGAAAATTAACCCAGTACATTTCCTACAATTTTAGTAAGGCAAGATGAATGACAGACACAGCTCAATGTCAAAGCCTAATAATAACTGCAAAGTTTTTCAGCAGAGTTAAAATCAGTCATTTTCTAAGGACTGAATGGTGGATTTAAGAGAGACCTCTAGCTGAAGAGAATATATTGCAAGACAGATGCTCATGATGACATTTTTAGTACTATCAGATACTTCACAACTTTTCTTCAGGAATGACCCTATTCTTTTTCCACTGTATCATGCATGCAGCACAGAGCTTTTGGCATGAAGAAAGTTGTAAAAGCTGAAGCTAAGTGCACAACAGGAAAGCATCACTCTTCCATTGACTACAAGGCTATTGTCGGGATTAACTCATTTGGGTGCAAATTTTACAACTTTTATGGGGCCAGTCAGAAAGGTCATTTTACCACTTAGATGTGGCTCTGTTACAAAATGTCACATTCCCATGATTGGAATTTGATGGGAAAAGCAGTTACCAGGGGGAAATTGAAAGCAAATTTTTGGGATTAAGTCATTTGTGCGGAGTGAGAATAATCTGTCAGTGATGGGGTGTAATGGTCTGACTGACACAGATCTGAAACTACATGGACAACCAGGGAACAGCCAGCCAACAGGGTGGGCGAAATATGGCCATGAATTTGTCTGTCCAACATCCACTCTATGGCGGCATGCCCTTTAGACGATCCGTTTATCTCTCAATGTCAGCCATTCAGACTATGCACAAAAACAAGATGGTAACGTTGTTACAGTTCCTTTTTTACATTTCATACTATCTCGCTGCTGTAATAAATGCATATTTACCAAAATGTCTCATCTCTGAAAAAATGCTTCTGCTATCAGTGTCAGTGCTCTTGTCATTATGAACACTCAGTAGCTGTCATTACCTCACATCACATCCATTAATAACCCAATGTGTCTCCTTTACTGCCAGACAAAGTGGGTCTAAGTGAATGTTGGGGATTAATCTATTACCAGCACCACTCAGAAGTGACATCATGGCTCCATTTCCTGCTCTGTAGTGCTTTACACACTAATCTGCCATGGCATGCGCTGAAACTGACAGTATTGTGCATCTCAAGGATTTTCCATAACATCAACAAGCAATATTTTTTTTTTTTTTGTCAAAGATAACCAAAACTTATGGTTGGCTATCAAAAGCTGACATCAGAAGCAGGACAACTCTAGGCAACGTTACACTGTCTAAGAAATTGATGAATTGGAACTTTGTATGTCTGTAAAACCTCTTGATGACTATTTCAGCACCAAGGACAGCACAATTTGCACTGTAAAATTAGATACTAGTGGTACTTGCCCCCTACCACCAGATTCCATTACCGTTTTAATCATATCTATGCTCTATTCGTATATCAAGACTAAGACGTTGACAGGTGAATAGTTATCAAAGTGCATATGCTCTGCATGTGTTATAAATGTAACTGACATCTACTAGTACAATGTAACTAAAAGATGATACAAGATGACTCTACTGGTTTGAATTCTTTCCTTAATTGTGGCTCAATATATCATATCTGTTAAATCTTTTTAGTATTTTTGAACAACCTCGTTATCAAGGCAACAAACTAACCAGCTGAAAGAATTAATGGAACTAGAGAACATTTGTAGCACGGAGACAGTTTTGTCAGTGAACTTCTGCCGCAAGGTGGCGCTCGTGCACTGCTTGCCGCTTACCTCTGCCAAGTTGGGTGCGATACTCACATCCATCGCATGGAGGCGCTTCTGAAGGGACTGTCTTTGTGGAAAATCACTGGAACACGTGAACTTTGCGTGATAGACTGACTGGAAGGTAAAACACGAAGATGCCGGCAGAGAAAGAGGTTTGTGCAGTCTTAGCTTCGTCTTCGTTTATAGTTCATACTGGAGACCTTGATTGTATTTGTTGGAGAATTGCCAAATGGCCAAACGCACAAAAGCCAGGGGGCCCGAGGGGGGAAAGCATCGAGCAAGTGTGAAAATTACTTGCCGGCAACCACTGTTGCCACCGATGGCAGACGTGTTACTGATAGTTCCTGGAAAATCAGGCCATAGTGTTGCCTCCTAAGCTTAGCAAAGTTTTGGGAGATCGCAGGCTATCTTTATTCACTGGCAACTTTCTACGCCAGGGTTACAGGCGATTCCCCCCTCCCCAGGTAATGTACACCTCTTTTACCATATATGGGATGGAGTGGGCGGGGCCTTGTCAACTCGGCTAAGGTCAAATATTCTCCAAGTAGATGTATGGCTCTGAAATGTTTTGTTACACCTGGGTTATATTCTTCAGCGAAGTTCTTTATTTACAGCCACTTACTCTCCTCATTACTCAAGTAGAACTTAGAATTAAGAACTTTGCCATTAAATTGTTACATTATCGCTCGTTTTCCACATCTGTAGTCAACGACCCCCCACAGCCACGTCCCCTACGGGGCCGAAGGTTCGGGGTTTTATTCCGACAACACCATCGGCTGTTACAACGTAATCCAGGCCTCCATTCCCATCGTGATGGACGCGATCAACTCCATGAACCTTGACACGGGGAGGACGTTCACCATCGCAGACTACGGAACTGCTGATGGAGGGACTTCCATGCCCATGTTGTATCAGGTGCGTGAATGATAACTACATGTAATTATCATGGAGTGATCAGTTGTTATTCTTCATTTTGAGTTGACAGCCGCATTGCCCTTGCTGTCTTCTTCCTTATTTTGCATAAGTATTGTTTTGGGTGTGTTTCTGTGTACTAGAATGTTTGTACAGACGATATACAAACAAGAGAATGTGGGTGGGGGAAGATTGTCCTGAAGGCAGAATGACAGGTCAAGATATCAGACACTGGAAATGGAATGAGCTAAAAAATCCTAGAATATGGCCTGGAGCCAGCAGGAATTAGAGGTCAACATGGGGAAATTCAGGAAGATGCAGATGGCATGAGTCACCCTCCAACGCTATACAGTTTCTGTCCTACCAAGGAGCTTCTATTCGTCCTACTATGCACATTGTGATTCATAGTCGTACCATCTCCTCATTCCAATAAATTCACAAAAGCCGAAATACTTCTTGGAAGTCTCCGATTTCTTGTTCTTGAAACAACCCTTAGCTAGAATGGATACTGATATAAAAACCACCTGTATTTAACTGAACAGGTCATCAAGTTTCTACGAGCAAAGTATGGAGATGCCCTCCCCATCCACGTGGCCTATGAGGACCAGCCAGTCAACGACTTTAAGTCCCTGTTCCTGCGTCTTCAAGGCCTCCTGCCCATGCCTGAGAACAACAGCTACTTCAAGGACTTTGCTAACACTTATGTGACGGCTTGTGGAACTTCATTCTACGCGCAGGTATAGTGTTGGCACATGTATGATCATGTAATGTGTTTGTGTATATTTTACATCTTGGTAGCATGTTATAGTCTTAAATCAGTGTTTAGCAGTCCTGCTTATTTTTAGCCTGTCAATAGCAGGAAAAATTCTTATTGATTGAACTCTATTAGCCATACTGTCTTAAAAAGCACACACTTGCATACAAGGTCTTTAAAACACTTCAGAGTAAACTTGACTTTTCTGTTTTTCCTCCTTAGTCTTACCCCCCAAACTTTGTGGACCTGGGTTTCTCAGCCACAGCGATGCACTGGCTGCAGAAGAAGCCGTGTAACCTGACGGACGCGCTGCACCACACGTCTGCGGGGGTTCCCCAGGAGAAACAGCTGTTTGCAGCACAGGCAGCACTGGACTGGGAACAGAACCTGATGCACAGGGCGAAGGAACTCGCCCCTGGTAGGTACACAAGTTTCTCCTGGGTATAGAAGTACCAACGAGAAGAGCCAGCATATCATGGAAAGAGGCTGAGGAAGTGGTTGCCCTTGGTCGAGATAGAAACTTGTATCTGTATCTGTATCTGTACAGCCAGTATAACATACTAGCTTCCTAGGCTTGCGGTGTGGCGGCAGCTAGCGCTGGCTATATTTCACCAAACAATCTTTTACAACCAACATTTGCACATTTAACTGTGTTTAAAGCTATCAAGTTATTGTGCCCCTACTGTACTTGGTGGCAGCAAGTTCCACTCTAAATGTCTGTCCTGTTTTCAGGGGGTCACTTGGTGATCGTGAACTTCTGCGTGGATGAGAAAGGTCGTTACCTCGGCAACACGGACAAGAAGCAGTCCATGTTCGAGCGGATGACATCACTGTGGAGGAAGCTGGTGCAAGAAGGGACCATCACTCAGGTGTGTGTGTGTGTGCTTGTGTGTGTGTTTGCTTGTGTGTCAATGACAGCATTTGTGCAGTGTATAGCCTCAACATAGACCACAAAAGGTCAGATACAGGAAATGGGGTTCCAGAAGCAGGCAGAGAGACAGCAGGAAGTTGGCAGTCACCCGTTGACATGGTGCCAGACGTAGACCAAGAATAAAACAAGAATAGAAGTTCACAAATACTATAAATGTTAGAGGTTTGAAATCAATAGTTTTTTGTTCCATTTTTTTACCTCAGGAAGAGTTTGTGAACACGACCTTCATTAACTACTACCGCTCTGTGGAGGAGGTCAGCGCTCCGTTCAAGGACGAGTCGTCACCTGTCAGGAAGGCAGGGCTGTCTCTGGTCTCCGTGGAGACTAAGGTAAAGTTTTGTATCTCCAATCAGATCTTTTGGTGGCCACAAGACAGTATGAAATTGGCCAGGCAATATCTATGTGTCAGGCAGTTACCATTTGCCACCTGAACATCAGCTTTTAATAGGTTGGCCCCACTCCAGGGTAAGTGCCGTCAGAAGTTTTGGCTGAAAAGTAAGCCCAATAAAATCACCTAACAACCTGTCAAAAATGAGCCGAAGCTTAGACCTCTGCTTGGAGAATGCTGTTTTGTGTCCATTGTTCTAACCCAAGAATACTTTTTGGATGAAAAAGTACATGACTAATATAGCATTATATGTATGGATTGTAGAATGGCTTGTTTTGTTGACTAATCTTTCTCTGACATCAGGTGACAGAGTGTCCATATTGGGCACGCTGGATGCGGGAGGGGGGCGATGCCAAGGTTCACGCCAAACGGTTCATCCCCACAACTCGCACCTGGAGCAACCACACCTTCCTGTCAGGTGAGGCAACTTTCTCAAGCATGTAGGCATGAGCATGTTGACAGTATGTGGGTGGAGGAAGATTGACAGGCAGAATGACAGCCCAAAGGTTAGACACAGCAAATGGCTTGTTGGGAGCCAGCAGGAATACAGGAAGCCAAGGGTTAAAAATCTCTATTTACATGTTTCATTAGTACTTAATGAAAGCTTGGAAGCTACAAATGTAGGCAGCTTCATTCCAAGCAGGAAAATTACAGCATTTTTGGAACAATTTGTCCCAAAATATGATCCCCCCTGGCAACTTTTTTCCAAACTGCACATGTAAAGTCATCAAGCTGTAGTCACCGCAAGTATCTCCAACCTTGCCATTTTGTTCCAGGTCTGTCTGACAGTCGCTCTGCGGCAGAGAAAGCAGCGATCGTGGACAAGTTCTTTGGGATGTACGAGGCGGAGGTGGCGGCTGCACCCGCCGACCACGGCATGGGATACGTGCACACCTTCATCCACATCAAGAAGGACAACTAAGTTCACAACTGTCATTCCCTGACACCCCCTTTTCACTAGAGGCTGAGACCACAGAGGCTAAAATTTGACAGATTGCTCGATGAATTTCCTAGGGAACAAGTTTTTTGTTCCGTTGTCATACTTTTACATCTTGCATCATACTCATAGCAATCTACCGCCATTGTCAGATTATGTAAGTTCTTAATAAACCAATCATCAATCAATCATGAAATCAAGGATCACACAAATGCAGTTTTGGTCCCTCAGCGATCAGTGTCTAGTGAAGGGGATGGGGCATAAGCATCAGAAGATGTATAAAATCTTCTGTTTTAAACCTTTGGTTCTCAAAGATGACTTAGCCATAACTTCCACTGCGAGTTAGGGGCTTTAAGTAAGATTTGTCCTCACATGTTAGTTTTGTATTGTATTAGATAATGTTGGACAAAAAGATCAATACCTGGCCAAAATACTGCAGCCTCCAAAACTACTGGTTATGTTAGGATGGATTCACCACATGCTCAGTACCTACAATGTAGTCTATAAGCTACCTCACTATTCTATTGTAGGCTCATTTAGACACTATATTTGTATTGCCTACAGAGAATTTTACCAGAGACAGATTTGGTATCAAATAGAGATGGATGTGGTGTTGAATTTTTGGCAGATTCCAACTTGAAAACATTCCTTTTAATTCTACCAACCAGTTTTTTTTCTTGTATTAAGAAATTGCTCTGTCAAAACCATGGCAAGAAAAACTAATATGGTTTTGCCATTTTAAACAATGGAGGTATGGACAGGATACAGATCAACAGTTTTGCCATAGGGTTCTTGTGCATATTAGTATGCAAACCAAAAGTGTTTCTTTTATAATGTACTTCTTTACTTCCATGGACATTATATATGAAGAAATGGGCCATGACATAGCCATATGACTCATACATCCAAAATAGTTATAACAAATTGATCCACAGAAAACATTTAGGATGTTCACTTGCTTTATTACACAACATATAAAAGCAATGCTGTAGCTTTAATGCTACTTAACATACTGACAGTGACATAGGCTTCTACATTTTTCTTACATGTCTATAGTCACATATATTGCTTCTTACTACTGAAACGTTATCAGTATACATAAGATATAATCATGGACATCTCTGTGCTATAAGATCTGATTTTGGAAGTTCCACACTTATCACTGATGAATTAAATTGTACTTCCTGAAGTGCCAACCACGTATATGTGTATTATGTTGGATTTTTGTTGAGTAATCATTTTATGCTCTGTACAAGTGCCTTTCTGCCACTGTGTGGAATGTGCTACAATTCTACAACCCTAAAATTACAATAGGATGCCTGGCAAGTATGTGTGCAACATTTTGACTGTGCTCACCTGTACAGTTTCATAAACTTAATTTGAAACCATACTTAAAACTGCTGGACTTTTGCAATATAACAATTTGCAGAGCAATTTGCTGTATCCTTCAAACCAAGGAGCTTTAAATTCCTTTCAAACTCACTGCGTCAGTAACTACTAGTATCATTGGCAGATATACAAACTTAAGAATCTTATATTTTGGTGTATCCAAGACAATACTAGTAACTACCAGCACTACCACATCACATGGATTGTTCCTTTTTCCACTGATTTGATGAAAACTTCAGTGTTTCCATACTTTCATTAGTAATAATTTTTGGCAAAGAAATGATAACTTTGAATGAGTTCCATCTTTCATTAAAATAAATTAATCGATATATCGTTCAATGTAAGCTTACATCTCTAAATTGTACCTCATCCTTCTATAGGGTGTTTTATGTACAGCAAGTTGGTGGGACCACATTATTGCAATAAACTATAATCAAACTGATCTGGAAATGTTCTTTGAAATATATGACTTATATACTCTAGTAATTGATACTCTGATTACATATAAACTTAAAAAAAGACTAAATCTTTCTGTGGACATAGCTAACATCATTTCTTTGCTGGTTTGGTGCTGAATAACCTACCAGTAATAGGGCAGACATATTTGTTCCTCGCACATTGCACATGTGTCACCAGCCCGTTGGGATACCTTGCAAACGCGTTGTCACTGAACGGCCTACAGCAAACCTGGCAATACCGCTCTTCCGACAGTGTGATTGGCTCTCGCTTCAGCCCCACTGACGTTCCCTTCATCTGTAGGTTCTCTCCCCGTGCCAACATTCGCTCCACCCGTGTAGTCCTCTGGTTGTGCATGCTCTGTCTCACAGCGCGGTTCAAGAACTGCTGGATGAGACCGATGGACCAGTGGGCTGGGATGATTTGTAACACGCGAACGGCGTCAAAGTCTTCGGCGTGATTGTTGAGAAGTTGCACCGCGGGAGCTGCCAGCGAATCTTTCCCGCCTTCCATCGGGTCAAGGTAGACGGACAAGAGGATTTGGAACAGACGACGGCGGTATGGAAGGTCGTGACCTTTGGCGTTGGTGTCGCAGTACTGCTCGGCTGCACGGTAGTCTTTCAGCTTGTACACGAGGATACGCAGGGCTTTGTCGTGCTCTTCTTTCTTTCCATACAAGATCGCACATTCCGCATACATGTCCGTCTCCTTTACTTTGCCTGAGGAAAATGAAAAAATGTTTAATGCTTAACACTCAAAGGGTGTCTTAGGCACCTAATTAGTACTGATATACTGACAACCTAGACTGCTGAATGTTAATGAGATCAACTTTAACAAGAAAGCAACAACTCACCCAAGATTAGCGCCACCCGGTAGAGAGAGGAGAACTGCAGCATCTGTCTCAGCTTCTCTCTGGAACGTTCCATTTCATCCGTAGGGATGGATGGGTCCTTCCTCATCTACATAAGGAGGCAAAAAATCAAAACATGATACCAAGTTACAGTACCTTTAAATCCCAATGTCTAAAGAGGTATAAGATGGCCCTGACGATGAGAGATTGTGTAACACAGCCTAACCTTCCAGGTGTGTTATCTCACCTGTAACACCTTGTCCAAGTACAGTACAGCCAGGTGTGTGTGGTACTTCTCCTTCTCCAGTTTCCTGGTAAAGACCAGGTGTTCCAGGTAGCAGACCACGGCCTGTGGGTACCTGTGCAGGTAGTCCACGATCGTCTCCGGCCTCATGCGCTCTGTCTGAGGCTCGTCGGCGGGACGCTGTGTAAAAATCTTCACACCTGAAAGGAAACATATAACATGTAAGTTAAAACTTTATAAAGTAACAATAAGATTTTTGACATCTCCCATGACTCCAAGCAAACATTGCTTTAAGTATTCTTATTTCCCATAATTTTCTGCTTTTTGCCAGTCCTTTTAGGGGGTTATTGACAAAAATTCCCCTTGAAAAGCTGTGTGGAAAAATGAACTCCATGGTGGTCAAAGACCCCTGGTCAATTATTCTTCTTATTTGGCTAAATTTTACTGTTTTTTGACCCATGTTCTTAGTCACTGATGAAAAGTAGTGGATCAACTTAAAACGTCTGAAAGTTTTCAAAATCTAATTCTAAAACACAGCAGTTGTACTTACCCTGTTCCTGGTCCTTCTCCAGTGCCCAGTCCACGTACCTCCACACCAGCTCATGGTCTGTCAGCTGAGACAGGAACTCCACCACAAAGGACAGGCCGGGGTGGGAGGGGTCAGTCAGCTCACCGTTCACAATACTCACCCACACCTGACACAGGAGGGAAAATATATACTGGATTAAGAAGAAATCAGAGATTGCAGATTTGCTGTTCGCCATCCTTAGCTTTTCAGAATTCCCAATGTCAACAACTAATTCCTGCTGGCTTCCAGTCAGATTCTGAGACCTTTAGGTTCACTCCCATTTCCTGTGTCTGACCTTCTGACCTGATGTATTTCAACCCACAGAAACTAATCCAGAAATTGCCAAACTTTAAGTCCATGACTTAATGATACAATCCCGGAAAAAATTAGCAAGTAAAATCCGATCTACAGTTTTTTTACATAGCTACAGCTGAGAAAAAGAATTTGTGCAAAGATAGAAAAGTACCTGCAAGGCCTTTTCATTGTCCCCATGGTACTTGTGGAACAGTCCGAGTGCATGGTGGCGGCCATACTTCTGGAGGGAGTCTACACTGTCCTGTATGAAACACCCGTTCTCCGAAGACACAAAGTCAACCAGCTTCGGTGAATCAATCTCCGCGTACAGCTTCAACAAGGCCGTGTCAACCTCCTCTTTGTAGCCAACCACGAGGTTCGTGTCACGAACGTCTTCCAAGAACGACGCGAGGAAGTCCTTGCAGGCCTTCATCTTCCCAGCATCCCCCAGGCAGAGCTGCTTGACATCTGCGATGTCATGGAGTAGCGGGACTGAGCGCGTGAAGTTGGAATTGGTCGGAAGCATGAAGGGGAACAGGTTGATCAGCTCTCTGACGTCCAGCTGCCCGCTCTTGAACAGCTCGGCCGCCTCTCCGAAGTTCAGCTGACGCAGCTGGATGAAACCGGCTTGCTGCTGGATCCTTCGGTACATCTTGATGAAGCGCTCTTTCGGAATCGTCCGCCGCGCACTCTTGGCCAGAGCAAGGGCTTCCTCCACCCTCCTGCTGTCCAGCAAGTCTTGGATCTGCTTCTCGAACGGGACCGAGATGAGGGAGTAGATCTCTTTGCTGGACGCCACGAAGATCCGCCCCTCGAAATCCCCAATGATCTTGCCCCCCTGGAATGGTATAGTCTGTTTCTGTTGCTGATCGAGGATGCTGTGGACCGTGATGAACTCTTCGTCCATGGCGAGCACGTACGGGAAGACGAAACACACGGAGCTGAGGTTGTCGGACCACTGAAGAGGGGGCCGTTGGGAGATTCCCGCAGAGGTTACAAACATTCCCAGAGCACTGGGACCGCTTAGCAAGAACTCTTCATTCCCCACCCTCTTTATGAGTGGCTTGGTTGTCTCATTTTCATACGGGAACAAGTCTTGAGTCACGCCAGTTTCAAAGTTGACCATGTTGTACTGTGATCCCAGAGCCACACATATAGATGCACCATCTATACACATGTTCACAGGTGGTTCTGCTACAGCCACCTCTCTTGTGGCGACCATCCTGTCTTCCGTTACCGTGAACAGCTGCAGGGACTTCTTCCTCCCATACGCCACACAGATCTCCACACTGAAGGGATTGTTCCCTAGAGGGGTCTCGTTAATGCTAAATGCTGTCACCCCCTTCACCTTTGCACCACTCAGGATTGGCTCTAGGTTAAACATGGTCAGTAGAGTCAGCGTGCTGTCACACAGCACGAGAATCCTGTTCAGCGCCGATGCCGCCTTGAGCTGTACGATTGGCTTCTTCAGCCCCAGGTACTTACGGGATTGCTGTTCGGAGTTGTACATGATTTTGCCATTCGGTTGCGACTTTTCCTCCAAGAGGAAGTGAATGATGAAGCAGTCTGTGGTTCCTATGTACAGGTTCTTTCCACAGCTCTCCATGCATTCGATGGCAGTTTTGGCTTTGTCACCAATGAGCTTCGAGCGCTCAATGGCTGGAACAATCTCATATGCCTTGATGCTCATCTTGGTACTTTGGCTGGTCTATCACGATGTCATTATTAAACAAGTGAAAACCTACATGAAGAAGATTGTTATATTTTATTAGAGATTTGAAAATTGGAGTAAGTTACCTGCAAGTATATCTTATTTCTTGGCAACATCACCATGTGAACAATACTGCATTAACAAATCAGAGACGGAACGACATAAATTTCTATAAAACATATTAATTGATAATCTTTGTTGGTAAAACAAAAACCATAATGTGCCCAATAACGTTATCATGAATATTGCATTTTTTAACGAAAAGGAATTTTGGGGGGATATGTTGTGGACCTGAATAATGGGAGTCCCCATAATACGTCGTCAACATTTTATAGAATTGATAAAAATTGTATATTGAAACAATGTGGGCAATGCAAATATGGTTTCGTGCAGTATCTGATCTTGTGATCTCTACCATGTTAGCTCCACCCACTTGCAAGGATACAACCCCCGAAAATCGACTCACAGCGAAAGAACAGCGCTCTTAAAGTGTTGCGTAACAATGCTATGGGTTAGAGCAAGGTGTGTAGGTGAATTTGATGGATGTTGAACGTCAGAGAGTGGAAGAAACCGTTAGAAACCAACCTGTCACCTGCCGCCTTCCTCAGTATCCGCCATTGTACAGGAAAGGGAGGAGTGACCTACAAATGTAAATAAAACAGCTCGTGTTTGCAAATTTAAATGCCGAGATTTTTCAAGAAAATTCAAATTTTGTATTTAGAATAAAATATAGATATTTTAACGCATATTGGCTGGTCTGTTGGGTGATAATTATAACATTTATTTTCAATATCTGAATGACGTTTTGATGCTGTATCATCGTGACCTTTATTGACCCACGTGTGGCACCTAAGAATGCTGGGACTGGATTCTTCCACTTCAAATTAAAAAGGGAAATTTTCATAAGGACACATATAATCACCTCTTCTCTTTTGGAATAAATTTAGCATACGTTATCATATGGGGATACTACTTTATGTATAGTAATGTACTTTAGTATATCAAACAGGAATATCTTCCTTAAGTGTAAAAAAATTCCATAGAATAAAATGTCATCATCCCTATGAAAACGTATTAGTGGAAAATTCCAACCAACATGGAGGACCAGAAGCCAGAGGAAGACGAGGGAGTGCGGGCCGTTGACCTGATTCATCCTGAAATCCTCAGTAAAGACACTCTGGTTGACATTCTTACGGAGGTAACACTGATTTCTACCTGCTGTGAAATTTTGAACGAGATCTGTGACGTAGTAAAGAAACAGGATGTGTTTTTCGAACGATGCGGCGTGGTTGCGTTACAAGTTAAAACACGCCGCACCTGTTCCAACACTCAACCGGATTTCTATAACGTATAAGGATTTTTAATACTGTGGAATTCTTTGCGTTATTTTCTAGTCATCTGCATCATACTTCACTGTTGTAATCTCTTAACCAGCTGTAACACTGGAACAGAAATAAAAGTAACCGGAATGTGATATTATACACAGTGTACGTATGTCGTGTCGTAATCACAGTGTGGGGTTGCAAATCCAGATGTCATTGTCTTGTTCACAGAGATTAGTCCTGAAGCATCACCATGGTAACCAGAGTCTGGACAAGGCTCACCTGGTGGAGATGTTCTACAAGGCAGTCACTCCTAAACCACAGAGGAAGTACAGGTACGTTTAGCGGCTGAAACTGAATGGGCAGTTCATACATGTATAGGGTGTTTCCTAAAACTTCTCTTTGACTAGCCTGGGTGCCAGACTGTTGCCAGGGTCAGTCTTCAGGGAAAACAGTATACTGTATTCTTGCCTTCAGGACCAACCTGTCTTCAGGGAAATTTTTCCACGGGTTCTAACTGGTGACTGGCAAGTGTATTCAGTATTGGCCCTCCAGGCTACTCCAGGCTCATGTTGTTTGCAAATACTGATAATTACACTTATTCAAATTACTAATTACTGATTGTTCAACACACAAAAACATATTGATAACCAATAGTCAGGTACCAGAGTAAGAGACAACCATTGATGATATGATCAACCCAGAATCAAGTTTTTTTTAAAACGTGTTCTTCCATAGATGAATTGGTGCCCTTTAGTCAATTTTGGATGAGCATAATGTTAAGTCAGCAAGAGAATGTGTAGTACAAACATATTTTCAAAGTTTCTTCACAACTGCTTATGATTGCATCATTTCAGGTTAAACAGACGAGGAAGAATTATGACAAAAGCTCAGATCAGGCGAGCCAAACTCAGGGCAAAGAAGACTGGTCAGCAAGAAGAACAAAAGAACATGGGGCTGAAGAGGTAAGATTATTCCTCTCACCCCTTCTCATTGTACCATTTTGCTGTAAACAGTTTTCACCGTACACATTTTTTTAATCAACACAGTTGCTGATATACTAGTAACGGTGATGATATTAGTCTCCACAAGGACATTATATATATACTGTATATATATATCTGTGTATAATGTCCTTGGTCTCCACTTCTCCTTGTCTTCATCTAGGAGTGCATCACCCACAGAGCCAAGGCTGAAACCACCCATCAACTGTGTCAATTTTCAACGTAAAACCATCAAACTCGGTTCCTCACCTAAAAGTGTGTCGGCTCCCGGTGAAACAAACACAGCAGCAGCAGACAGACTGAAGCCCCCTCCCACTGAGAAGCTGTCAAAAGTTGCAACCACAAACTCATCAAACGGTTCATCGTCCAAGTCAAAGCCTGAACCTATCATATTTACCACAAACCCAGAGAAGAAAACTACACCCATTAAGTTAGTTAGAAGTCCCCCCACCAGTCCCATTGCTAACACTGGAGTAGTAAAGGTGTCAAGTCCAACATCGGTCAAACCTCAAGCATCAGCAACAGAAACAACAGAACAAGTTACAGAAAAGAGAAAGAGCACTGATGATTCAGAGGTAGGTTTAAATTATCAAGTTCAGAAACAATTGTACATGTACAGGGTTTTTTTTCCTCCTAACCTATATTAATAAGATTATAGTATACAACATGTATGCATGGCACAAAAATATTGATGGACATATCTCTCATAGTAGTTAATATAATGTTCTCAGATTCATGCCTCTTACAAATACTGTTTTTACTATATTTCAGGTCTCATCAGAACAGGATCACAACAAGAAGAAATTCAAGCCCAGTAAAATCACTTGGCCCTAAATATTTCAAATACCTTTACTCTTATTCCTAGTCTTAGTGCAGATAACCTCTCAATTGTACATTTGACACAGGATCTTTTTCTAGGAGTCAGATTTGTGTGAGGGATTAACACATTTTACATACTGTGGATGACCCAATCACAGTATATTTTAGGAACTCTTGCCACATGGCTCTAAGGTGTCTAAAAATACGACCCAGTACTGCAAATGCTGTGACCTAGAATGTGTTGAACATGTGTTTAGGGACAGTGAAGGTTACGGTCAGTATTTGCTTCCATTCTTCACTTTAAAACGACCGTTCAGTCATGTACCTAAGTTCGTTGACCCCAGAATGAAGGCCAATATTCAGGAGCAAAAGTATTTTGGACTGAGTTAACTTTAATGGAAGCTGTGCTACAGACATTTTATGAAATATTGTACTGAGATTCAAGGGTATAATATTGTTTCATGTCATAAAATGTATTACCTACTCCCATACTACTTCATCATAGTTTTTGGTAATTATTGATTTTACAATTCCTGGGGTGACATCAAGAGTCACATAACCAAGTGTAATGCAATAATATAAACTTTTGTGACCTACTAGTATTTTGGTGCCCTTTTACATTTACCAAAGTATTCAATTTTTCTCTCTTACTAAAAGGCATATGTGTCATACTTGAGAAGAAAAGACAGCTGATATTGAACCTAGATACTGAGTATTTTTATGTGATGTCTTTTGTTTCCTTGCAATACAATTTTCTCAGTCAAGTCACTGTCAGTCAAAAGATTCTGTTTTGCTCACAGTAGTTTTATAGGTAGATTCACAACTATCAGAGGTGAATGTCACAACTTGCTGTAGTACTCCTCTGGAACCACCAGGTGGCGCTCTATCTCTGCCAGGCACCTGCAACCTGTAAAACAGCAAATATCAAATTTAACATTCTTCCTGCTGCCTATCCTTGTAACCAATGCAAGTTTGGTGCCAAAAGGTTGTCTTCGTAAGGAAAATGTTACTATAATTTATGACAACCAACAGGACAAAATGTTCAAAATGTGTTCACTTCGAGACATTTGATTTACAGTTAAGAGTTTTGTAATCAGCATAAGTTTTACCTGACAATGCCATGGCTAGGTCCAACTCATTACGGAGTATCTTCAGCACTTCAGTCACCCCATCCTCTCCCTGAGTGAGAGATAAAATGTTCGCTGTAATACGACTTATACGAGGTATGGAGTAAAGGTCCCATATCCGATAATCCTCTGGGGCTGTAGGTTGTTAATTCACTGTGTTTATTGGAAGGCAGAGCCCATCCCTCTCCTTCTACTGACTTTACCTCCCCAACCAAAGTCAGGTACCCATTTTACACCTGGATGGATTGAGGAAAGTCATGTAAAGTGCCTTTCCCAAGGTCACAAGTGCCTTTCCCTGGGACATCTAGCCAGGAAATACCAGTGTCCACTAACCAAGCCACTTAGCCATTGGGACAACAAATACAATGTCCAGAAAACCAGAAATTCCAAATGTATAATGCTGCACCTACATTATAAGCTAGTCCCCAGATGGCAGGGCGGCCCACAAACACAGCCCGTGCTCCCAGTGCCAGGGCCTTCAGAACGTCTGTTCCAGTTCTTACACCTCCGTCCAGGTAAACTTCCAACCTCCCTCCTACAGCAGCAACTATCTCTGGAAGAACCTCAATCTGCAAACAGTAAAAATGTGAACAAATTATACATGGAATAAAGAGGGAAAAATACAAGACAAACATAGTACATGTAATAACACTAGCCTCTGTTATGCAGTCTCTCACTGTCATTGGCTGGTTGGGCCTCCTCCCTCTAAGCTTGTGGCCATACACCTCTAACTCAAGAGAACCAGAACTCAGGGTTGTTGATCACTATGAAAATCAGTCTAATAATAGCTCAGGATTCTCTGTCACCATGGAAACTAGTCACCATAGCCTCCAACATTATGGTAACAGACAGTTCAGACCAAATTCGCAGCATATGCTTAGCATAGATGTTAACTAATTCAGTCTAACAATAGTTGGTCCAAAGACATTAATGTCCTTGGTTGCTCCTTTCCTGTGACTCACAGTAGCTGGAACTCCGTCCAGTTGTCTCCCTCCATGATTGGACACCAGAATCCCCTTCACACCTGGATGGTCCAGGGCTATCCCAGCATCCTCTGCTGTCATGACTCCCTTCAGTATGATTGGCGAGGTTGGTGATGGAGCTCAGCCAATCAATGTCCTTCCGAGGAGAGGGCAGGGTCCTCGGGGCTGGCACCACTGCCATAGTTCCGCTCATCCTCGGACTGGAATGTTTTCTTAAGTCGTGTCAGTAGGAAAGTGTGGATTTAAACATTCCTGAAGCAAGTGGCCTAGTCTCTTTGAAAGGGAACAAAGATTAATTACATGTACTTCCTTTTCTAACAAGAAGTCAGAACTTTCAGACTTCTGGGAAGTATTTTGGGTCAAGTTCACAGACCTTCATTAAGTGTTTTGAGTTTTCTTGAATGTATTGGAACAGTGGAGAGGACTGTATTTTAATACTAGTATGTAATTCCATCAGGTATCACACCACTTTTTGAGCAAACCAAACACCACAACCAGAAAGTAATTATTGATAGAAAGGCAAGGCTGGTAAAAACATAATCTCTGTAGAGGAGGCAGTGAGCATACTGACCTGAGATGCTGATGACTGTAGTCCCTGTAGATTGGGCACAGTCAGGTGTGGTGGAAGCCTGAAGGAGTTCCTCAGATCAGGATATCTCTTCCCCACAACCGGCAAGTCTACAGTCACCACCAGGGCCTTATATCCGGCTTGTGCCGCCCTCTGAACCAGTCGTTGTGTGAACCGTCTGTCTGGCATGATGTACAACTGGAACCACTTCAGGCCTCCAGGCGAGGCTGAAGAGATTTCCTCCAAGGAGTTGTTGGCGTAGGTGCTGACAATCATACATGTGTGGAGCTTGGCAGCAGCTAGGAAGAAAGAGGTAGAACTAAGACAAGGAATTAGAAATTCCAAACTTCTGATAAGCACAGTCATCCTGCCTGTCAATCTTCCCCCACCCATGTGCTGTCAACCTACACTGTTCAGGCAAACATACACACAAACCCACAGCACAGCCACCCAAAACAATACTAGTAGCCCATTCTCATCCATAAGCTTGTATGACCCAACTTACTCAAGTACAATATATCTGTCCCAGAAATATCAAATCTACACCATACCTTTAGCTGTTTTGCTGTCCCCATCTGGCCAGGCTAACCCTTGTAATCCTGTGGAGCTCACACCAACAGGAAAGTCAACCTTCTCCCCAAGTAGAGACGTGGACAGGTCTCGGCATGACACGTCACGCAAGAATCTCGGCCGAATCCTCAGTCTGCATCAAAAGATCACAGAAATTTGGTGATGCGTGCAGTACCTAATCTCCAAGCAGATGTTGGAAGGCTTTCTTTCTGGCTGCCCTTTTCTGTGACAAACTGCCTGTGAGTCACTGTCAGAAGGGCAGCTAAAAATGAAATGATTCAACCTCACCCAACATCTGCTTGGAGATTATGCAATGCCAATTTCACAACAATGCTGCCTTATTATTATCCATAAGTTCATTCATTATAACCAACAGCAGACACTGCTGAACAAACGTTGAGATAAGAGGTCAACAGTCTGGACCAGACGTACATTATGTACATGTAGCAGGTGGTCCCACAGAGTTGGAGAGACCGTTCACCACATGTATAAATGTGTTGAAGTAAGAATAAACAGAGCAGTGTTTTGTCTGGCTAGACCATGCGAAGGTAAATTTTGTGCATTTGCTTTGCAAATTTTACCATTCTAGCTAAGTACGTTTTTATTTTGCGCTTTTACGAAGGTGGGCGGGGCTATAGTAGTAGTCTGCAGAGTCTTGAAAGAAGACTGACAAGGTACTAGTAGTTATTTTACTATAATGCATCATTAGAACTCACCTCTTGAATGCTTCTATATTTTCCTTTAATGTTTGACACTGGTCCGCTCCTGAGCTGAAGTACTCCTTGTAAGTTCGTGCGAGCTTGTTATTTGCATACTCCTCAAAGTCTGCCACGCAAACCATACGGTGGGACATCTCGTCCTCCAGATAAAATAACCAAACCTGATATCAAGAACTGGCAGTTTTCTACCGTTTAACCTCCCTGTTGCATAGAGCTGTGACCAATAGAGAAGTGCTACTTCCGTGTTAAAGGTTGATACATTTGTACACATGTCACCATGTCATTACTTGAGGGTCATTAGACTTTAGACCGTGAAAGGTCACTAGCGACTTCTATCGATCCTTATCATAACTACAACAGTTGTCATTATCCGTCCTCCTCTTTAACAGTTGTATCAAACAGTTTCCAGTCTAGTTTCCAGTACTGTTTGTCTTTTATTGCTGAGAGAAGTAGTAAAATTAATGGTAGTGACAAATGCTATCTCGAATGTTTTTATCAATACCAACATGCACAACGATCTATGACGGCTGTCCCACAGATCACAACGGCACCCGTCATCGGGTTCAGGGATGTCGGTGACGGCAAGGACTACAGGATCGTGAAGTACAGGTAATGTATTCTTAATTACTGTCACAACATTTACAGTTTCAAAGATGCTTGTCTGACGTTAGAAATGTGTTTGGCTTTAATTTCTTGTCTCTTTGAAATCAGACCCGACTGAAACGGACTGGACAATGATTTTCATCCATTTGTTATTGTTATTATTATTATCATTTATTATATTGTTATTATCAATATTATTGTTTTCATTATTACCATCATTGTTAGCTATTAAAAAAACCCAAAACCTCTGCTTGGATAGTACCAACCAATGCTCTTTAAACACTGCAAACAACCAACAAGAAAGAAACACCCCTTCAGACCCGGATGAGATCACATGACGCTCTCAAGACTCATTCATTGTCAGACTACAGACTGGCACTTGGCCATGGAACGGCGACGTCTGCACATCATGGAGGTAAAAAAATCACTGTACCTCCATAGCATGATGTTTACATGGAATACTACAGCTCAAGGGTTTTACTTTTGTTTCTATCATGACATTTTTGTTGGCTTCGTCGTTACTGTAGTAGATCAAGTTGTTTCACCGGTCTGGGTAACATATACCGGTAACCCTTTATGCTAACCCTAATTTAGGGTTACACTAATTAAAAAAACCCTAATTTTCTAGTGTTTGATTGTTGTTGACTTGCCCTCCCAAATGTAAGCAGTGGTTTGGAAAAAAACTGTTGTCTATTGAGAAATGAAAGATTTTCTTTCTCGCCTACAGAAATCTACCAAAGTTAAGATGATGCTTTTGATTCTCGCAGCTGTGATCTCCATGGCAACTGCCGGAGTTCTACCTCATAATAAGGAGTGGGAAATGTGGAAACTACAACATGGTAAGCACCATGATAAACCCCCATGTAGGGATGTAGATTTCAGATACAAGGAACTTTCAAATTCGTATATATTTCCCCTGGTCCCAGAGAATGATTAATTACATTATCATGAAAGTTCACATCACACATGTGTTGGTAGTAATCATAGTAAAATGTTGAACTTAATTCCAACATAAGAGCAAATTTTCAAGGACAACTGTCGCCTTCATCGGGATAATTAATGACCAATTCCTTCGAAACGCAATCTCGCGAGAGGTACAGTTACATACACGTGACCTTATGTAAGTTATGCACACGAGACTTTACATTGGGTATGGAAGTCCTCCTCAGAGTTTGAGGACAAATTAAGGACCGTGAAACTTGTATGAAAAGTTTTTGAACTTACTAATTGGTTATCAAGTAGTTCTTTCTTACATTTGCTTTGTATATGTCATCAGGAATGCCAGACGCGACAGAAGCTGAAGAGTACAACCATAGGCCAGTCTATGTGAAGATCCCCATCAAGATCTATCAAGCTCCAGCAGGCTAACCCCTGTAAGCCCGTGTAGCTCACCCCTACAGGAACGTCAACCTTCTCTCCAAGTAGAGACGTGGACAAGTCTTGGCATGAAGAATCTCGGTCGAATCTTAAATCTGAACTAATCAATCAAAGGTCAATGACCTGGACCAGACGCCTATCACCATGGTAACCGGACACCCTGATTACATTATGTAGCAGGTGGCCAGACATAGTTGGAGGTAGGGCTGCGGACCGGTACACTGTACCGGTCCAATACCGTAAAAATCGTTTCGGTACAGGTCCAAAATACCGGATCATGAAGTAACGAGTATATACCGAAATAGCTAGTTTACACCATGTATATGACTAAAGATAGGTAAATCCTACCACAAAGACGAAAAATTAGCACTGGAAAAGACGTAAACACCGTCGATTGATTTGAGATCCTCAGTCTCACGAGACATCGCGAGAGTGTGGCTGATCCAGGGTTGTGATTGGAAGATACTGACAAGTTGTCAACACTTTATTATTGTTTGTGTCATGATTGAAAAAGTGAAGAACACGTGTTAATTTGTCAAATTGTTCAGGTACAGGTACAGGTCCGGACCTGTACCTAAACCTCTGTACCGGTACTTGTACCTGTACCTGATGTTGCGTTTAGGTACGCAGCCCTAGTTGGAGGAGCCGGTAACCGTATACTTTATTAGAAAAAATACCCAAACTCGTGATTATATGGTTGCTTCTAAATTATTTCTGAGTACATTTGTAATATAAGGAAAATGAAACAATAAACTTACAGCATTGCAACAGTTTCGAATTGTGCATCATTCATGCTTTGTGTGTATTTTGTACGGCCAGAAAAATTCTATGGAGAACTTTTATAGTATAGTCTTCCGAGATAGTATAGTCATGAAGGGTTCGTCTGTGTGTACGCAAAGGGTCTATATGGAATGTCTATTCATTGACTCAGTTCTACCAATGAGGTTCAAAATTTTCGAGGTTCAGGTTTAATGGACCAACCGATTAACCAACCTGAAAAGATTAAGGCAAACACCCCTTCCGACAAGAATGGTCTCTCCCGGATGAGAGTCACATGACGCTCACATGACACGTGACTCATTCATTCACGAGTTGCACATTCCCAGGATGCTTTGCGCCCAGGGTAGGTCACGTGGGCGTCAGGGTAGGGAAAGGTCGCGGTAAACCACGTGACTCATCCTCGGCTCTGGTCGGAAGAAGTCGGAAGTGTTCGCGAGCGCTCGGAAATTTCAAAAATGGCTGACACCACTGCCGGCGGCGGGAGGTACGTAGTTTTTCACGGCGTTCGTACGGCAAAGCGGCATCGAATTTTTGCTCCATGACTATCGGTATGGGATAGGATAGGGTTGATTCAACACACTACGTGAAAATGTGAATGCTCCCAGCCTACTATCGGCCAGATATCGCTTAGGGCACCTTCTTCCGACCAGAGCCGAGGATGAGTCACGTGGTTTACCGAGACCTTTCCCTACCCTGACGCCCACGTGACCTACCCTGGGCGCAAAGGATCCTGGGAATGTGCAACTCGTGAATTGTCAGCTGATGAGTCGGCGGGAATCAGTACAGACTGGCACTTGGAGCAGAGACTTCCTCACATCAACACCACATTTCCTCCATTATTTCTACATCAAGTATTAGCTGGTAAGTTCTGATTATCTTTACAAATATTGGTTATAACAGTGGTAGCAGTATTTCTCAGTTTTCTCTACTGATACGCGAGAGAAAAAATGTTTTAAAGTCGTTTCTTCTGACCTCAATTTTAGCATGATGTAATACTGTACTACTAGCCCAAGGGTTTTACTTTTGTTTCTTTCATAACATTTTCTTTGGCGTCGTCGTTACTGTAGTAAATTTGTTTCACCGGTCTGAGTATTTCTCATATAAATCCTTACCGTTGGGGTAAGAGGATCGCGGAAATTGGTAGCGTTTCTAAGAAGTAATTTTCTCTGTAACTTCCGTATGAAATTATAGTGGGTGGGGGGCGCGTCCTGGCTAAGTCACGTGCAAATACCTGATGCGTTTTTAAGTGAACTTCAATATGTACGCGTTTGTGGTCACGTATTCCGTCGCAGAAGAGATATAGTACTATCTTAATAAGATTTCTAGCTCTTTTGGTTCTCTGTATTATATAAATAGGCAAGCAAGCTTCACCAGAAATTATGATTATGTGGTAACAGTGGCAAAGAAGCGTGAAACAGGTATAGGAAATATGCTAAAATTGATTGCAAAATTTTGCACCACAGAGTCGAGAATATCTTAAGTGCTTGCATACACATGCTATCATTTTCTTCATGATCATTCTAAAATACACACTTCAGTGCTATCATATCTGCAAATCATTCTGACAACACATAATCAAGAGGTAGGGGCACCTGAATGTTTGCTGTAACCCAGGTGTTGGTTATACAAGCTTGAAACGTAGCTTGTTTGAACAGTGCTGTCAATGGTCCAAAATTCCAGTAGCAAGCTGCTCCACAATACACACATAGGCATAAAAAGCCATTCAGTTTGGCAATACATGTACAAAGACTACCGGTATACAGCTAACACCAGTACCAGGTGTAAAGAGGAGAGTTTGAGAGAACAGATTGCAGTGTTTTGACTGTTTTTGTTGACTTGTTGTTTCGAATAACAGCTAGTTAGAAAAAATAAACACCACAATCTACTACATGTAGTATTTTCCTGACATTTGGTCAGAGATTGTTTGCATACTAGATAGGTGTGAAAATATTCAGGTATGAAGTGTTTCTTTGTCCTTCCCACTGATTGGTGTTTAACACCTTCATAGACCAATTCCATTGTGTGTTTTTGTAGTCAGCCACTTCATGTAGATTTTGTGTGGCAAAGAAAGTGTTACTGTGTCTTGTAATTAAGCGTAAAGCATCAAAACCTCTTACACATATTCCTATGTCCGAGGTCTGTTTCAATTTATATATTTCACCAGGGATACAAGTACATGTCACCTACTGGCAGTTTTCAACAAGTTGTAGACGGAGAACACCAACATAGAAATAACACAACATGAACATGATCATGAGAACAGAACCCCCTGTATACTAGTAGTAGTAGATTGTAAAAAGAAAAGAACTAAATTTGAACTTGAACCATTTATTTTTGTTTTCTTAATGGTAGAATTTTGGGGACAGCTCACCTGTGGTACTAGACACTCTGATTATGTTGTTTGTTCAGACTAAACAGGATACTGACATTTACCATGTTACCTCTGGGCATCATGTGATGTTTTTCACATGACACAAGATTAGACGAAGAGTGTCACTAAAATTATGACAAGGACTTGAAGGATATACTAGTACTAGTAGCAATTGATATGTACTAAATGAAAAAAATAGTACCTTATAACCAGAACTGGCCAACAAACACATGTGTAAAATTAATTCAAAGTATCAACTACAATGTTAGCTATAAAAGATTTACTTCCAGTCTTTTTTTACAGTTATTCAAATGCTGTCTATATTGTTTTATACTTCACGGATTTGTACAAAACGTTCCTCTTCAATTTGGCCGGTAGAACAAAGAAATGACAAGCTATTGTTTTCTGTTTATCATGTGACAGGAAATTCTATACTCCCACCAGGTGTGTGTACAATAGCCTCAGGTGACAATGTCTTGTGACACATACAATGTACAACTCAGAAGTGTATTGTGACATTTCACTGACATCCCCTGTGGGCTTCTGAATATTAAAAAAGGCTTTGTTTGTCATATTATCCAGGTTACATTTAATCTGCTTGCATGTTTGTAGATATCTTTATTCAGCCGGGGATCAGACATGATTATGAAAAATACTTTGGTGTACAGAACTTGTCAATTGTTTTACACAAGAAACTAGTTACCCGGCAAGCAACTAGTACTAGTAGCTAGTCACTGACGAAAAGTAGTGAATGCTACTCACTACTGTACTTGAAACATCTGACCATTTTCAAATAGTATGCAGTTGCTTGAGTAACAGTTTGCTTATTACCTGGAAGTCTAAACTTCATCGATGTGTCACTTGTTTTTGTTGCGATGCAAGTTTCACCACTGATTTCATCAGAATATCCTGTGATGTTCCACCTGACAATCAGGTGGTCATTACATCATGTGACCATTACTAAGCCATTTCCTGCTCTCACAGTACTTAAAGCAAAACAGACATATGCACACTGCATACTTCATATTCCCAGGGGCTTGGTGAGCTGTGGTGGTGAGGGAGTTATATACTTGTTAGGTTATAATGTATGGAATCTGTATTAACTTCTGTCTGCTTTACTGTTAATTTGTGTATTTTCGTAGGGAATTAACTTCACAGTTCTCAGTTGAAACTTGAAAACATTCTCTAGTACAGTAGTATATACTATTAAATACATGTACGTTGGAAACGTATCTTGGTGTCTTGAATCTGCAGTGAAGAGTAGTGAAAATTTTACCACCAAATCTTTCCGAGATTTCCAGTAAGTTTTGTAGTGTAAGAATCTCGAGAACACCACTGATGTTACCACTGTTGACTGTTGTCTATTGAGAAATGAAATAATTGTATTCTTTTCTTGTCCACAGAAATCTACCAAAGTCAAGATGATGCTGTTGGTCCTTGCAGCTGTGATCTCCATGGCAACTGCCGGAGTTCTACCTCATAACAAGGAGTGGGAAATGTGGAAACTACAACACGGTAAGCACCATGATAAATTTGTAGATTTGTCATAATTGAGTTACAAGAAAAGCTTAGATTTTCCCAATGACAAGGGACTTTCAACTTGTTGAGAAACATTTGTCTTGGATGTGAAAATCCTCTTCAGTACATGTACTTCGTTCTTACATTTCCTTTCTATATTTCACCAGGAAAGCAATATGCGACAGAAGCTGAAGAGTACAGCCGCAGGTTCATTTTTGAGAAGAACACCATCAAGATCGCAGAGCACAACATCAGGGCCAGTCTGGGCATGCACTCCTACACTCTGGCTATGAACAAGTTTGGAGACATGGTAAGGACATTTAATGTGCCTTATTTCAGACCTTAGGTCCTCCTGCAACTATGATGCAACATTGTGTACGATCCAAATTTTGACAGTCTAGTGGTTAAAAATCCTGAATGTTTAACTTTAAATCTTGGTCTACTTATTAGAATTTGGAGTCTGCATATGTATGCTACCGGAAAGGGTTGCAGGCTTGTCACCCATTGGGTAATACTTAAGTAGGGATGTACCTTTCAAAATCTGACGAAAACTCTGCACATACATATGTCATCCTTGAAATTTATTTCCTGTGGCCTAGCCTTTAAATATAACGTTGACTATGATATGATATTCTCACACCTCTGTTTCTACCACCATAGCACCACGAGGAATTCCACCAAAGGATCATGGGAGGATGTCTGAAGATCGTGAAAGTCAACAAGCCTCTGCTGGGGTCAGAGTTGAAGGATGATGATGACAATGGTACTCTCCCCAAGTCTGTGGACTGGAGGAACTCTCACATGGTGTCAGAGGTCAAAGATCAGGTCAGTATGATGTCAAAGGTCTTGAGTTGCAACCATACAACCCTTGAATGAAACTTTTTATAAAAATGACAGCACTTTTCAAATGATACATCCTACTAGAGCTGTGTACCTAAACAAATTTTAGGTACAGGTACAGGTACAGGTACACAGGTTTAGGTACAGGTCCGGACCTGAACCTGTACCTGAACAATTCGACCAATTTATATGCTCTTCTGAACTCCTTCAATAACAAAAAAACATAAATAAACTTGATAGTTAAGGTTTATTCTTTGTTTATGGCGAATGCTCAGATAAAATATAGGCAAAACTAAGTTGTTTTTGTTTTCATGAACACACTGTCCTTACACAGGGACCCATTGTGGACCAGCTATTTACACATTTGAGGTCACAAATAGGCATAAAATTAGTGTGAAATTGTTTAGGTACAGTACCGGTACTGAGGGATTAGGTATTTTGGACCTGTACCTAATCAATTTTTCCGGTACAGTATCGGTACTGCGTACCGGTACACAGCTCTACATCCTACCTTTAACTATAAACTAGAAAATACATGCTAAGAAATTGAGCATCCCAAGTACTTAGCCATGTTCATAATGTTTGCTGAGAATGTTAACATTTTGAAGCTCTTGTCATTTTGTGTTCTCTTACATTTTACAGGGAGAGTGTGGATCTTGCTGGGCTTTCAGTACGGTAAGTCATTAAAAAAATTTTTTTGAAGTCAAGCCTGTACAAGTAACCACCTCTACATCAGAACCACCTGGCCAATTTGACCAAATTTTGGTAGTCCATTTGTCCATAGAAGTATTTTGAGCTGTGAAAAGTTATGTAGAGGTTGATGCTAAACCCTGGACCGTACCATTTTCCAGACGGGGTCCCTGGAGGGACAGCACGCTAACAAGACAGGTCAGCTGGTAGACCTGAGTGAACAGCAGCTGGTGGACTGTTCCAAGGACTTTGGTAACCAGGGGTGCGGGGGTGGTCTGATGGACCAGGCCTTCCAGTACATCAAGGCTAACGGGGGACTGGATACTGAGGAGTCCTACCCATACACCGCTACGGTAGGTTCAGATTGCAGGGCTAGAAATATCACCTGTATATGCAGGTTGAATTAGAGCTGTGCATGTTACTTCTGATGTCTATCTGCTCTGGTTCGTAACTTGGTTTATATATTCAGGTGTTAAAGAAATAATGGCAAGGTATGTAGACATAAGTATTTCCAGCCCTGGATGGCGTGTTTATTACCTCAGGGTAAGGAAGTTTTGGGTGGCTGGGTTGTGGGTTTGTGTGTCTGACTGTGCTAATTGCATTGGTTGCTTATGATGGATGGGAGATAATTTTGACAGATAATTGATAGGTTAAGCCTGAAGTGTGCCACACAGTTTGTCATTCACTGTTGCTTCCTGGTCAGGACTTATACGTCATATGTATAGTTAGGTAAACATCATGTACTGTTATCATTGTAGATCAGTTAGGCAAGCTAATGTGTTTGCCTAACACTGACCAGAAAGCTCTGCAGTCAAAACAGTTTTGACATACCAGCTAGTTAGGCAAGCTGCCAGAGTGCTACCAAGAAGGCAAAGGAGTTAGGCATGTAGTAATCCATATCCATGAAATTTCAGAATTGAATTACCCAAAGGAACAATATGGTGACAAACTTTTTGGACTGAAAAAACTTGTGCTCTGATGTCAGCCATATATAATCAAGTCAGTGTGGCCTTATCAAATCTTTTATAATGATAGAGGAGTTAGGCACATAGATGGTGCAACTTCGGTAACTGTCTGTGTCGCCTATGTTGGTTGCACGTCTGACCCTGGTGAACTCTGTATTTGAGATTCACTTTGTCTTTGATATTGGTGGTAGGATGTACATGTGTATCACAGTGTATGTGTACGGTGGTGACAGTCCTAAAAGAACACAAACTTCCATAGTATGTCTTTGGTATTGTCTCTGAAAATTATCTTAAGAACAATCAGCGTGCCAAATCTGACAGGACGTCGAAACAGTTTTGACATACCAGCTAGTTAGGCAAGCTGCCAGAGTGCTACCAAGAAGGCAAAGGAGTTAGGCATGTAGTAATCCATATCCATGAAATTTCAGAATTGAATTACCCAAAGGAACAATATGGTGACAAACTTTTTGGACTGAAAAACTTGTGCTCTGATGTCAGCCCCATATAATCAAGTCAGTGTGGCCTTATCAAATCTTTTATAATGATAGAGGAGTTAGGCACATA